CTGCGACCAGGAATAAACTATTTTTGAAATATTTTTTCCATATTATTCTAAAGAATATATACAAAGAAATATTTTATAAAAGTTCATCGGGAGTGGTGTTTATTATGTAAATTCATTTAAATGAATCCCTAACGAAAGCCAAAAGAAAATATTAACAATTTGGCAAGTTTGAGTAAAAGGAAATGAAAAGCAGTAAAACAAAAAAAAAAACGCTATGATCACACAGGCTACGAGAAAAAGAGATAGAAAGGAGAGATAATGTTAAAGAGTAAGGAGTCATTTGTTTTTTTTACGGTTTATCAACCTTTTGTGTTTTTAAAATTGAAACATATTTGGGATTGCAAGAATAATTTTTTGGCATGAAAAAATTGTAGTGCCAAACTGTTGAGAATAATTTTCCTGATACAAGTTTTACTTTTTAACCCATAGATGGTGGAGAAGTCCTTCTGTAATTTCAAATAATTATAGTTTCGGATACATTTGAACTATAAGCACTGTGACAAGAAATAAAGTTTTTATTTTATTTTCTTTTATTTTTTCCGTTGTTACTCTTGTTTAAACACACCAAATAACGAAAATAAAGAAAAAAGTATTTTATTTTATAAAAGTTCACAAAGGGCGGAGTTTATTATGAGAATTCATTTAAATGAATTCCTTATGAAAGTTACAATAAAATAGGAACAAACTGACAATTTTGAATAAATGAACAGAAAAACAAAAAACAGGGAAACAAAAAAGGAAATGCCTATAAGAGAAAGAAGCTATGAACCGCCATGATCATATCCATTGTGAAGGAACGACAGAGAGGAAAAGGAGAGATAGAGGGAAAGTATCATAATAATAATAATAATAATAATAACAAATGTAAAAGAATAAAAGAAAAAAAAGCAGAAGACATTTTGATAAAAAAAATACTATATACAAATATGCACAAAAACACATATCCACACAATATATATATATACATCCAAAATTCATCTACTGCAAGGAAAGTTGGGTCACTGTGTCATGCCAGAAATTTTTTTCTTGTCAGAGTTTATTTTGCACATTTACAAATCTACCATTCGTCTATGCATTGAATACTGTTGTCAAAACTGGTCTGATGCTTTTGCTGTTCATCTCAAGATTCTTGACAAAATCCAAAAAGGGATCTGCAATGTAATCGATCCTGCCTTGGCATCTCGACTTCAGTCACTTTTCTACAAATATTTTCATGGCAACTTTATGTCACCTTTTCCCCTCGTGCCTCAACTACATGAATTTAAAGGTTCTACTAGATTGGCGCATAGGTCCCACCCTTTTACTGTTGAAATAACTAAATGCAACAGCCACTTCAACTCCAACAGTTTCTTTTCCTCGCACTTCTTGCCCGTGGAAGTCCCTTCCGTTTACTTGCTTCCCTGATAATTACAATCTGCAAAAAGTTAAATGCAACGTCAATCCCTATCTTCTGTCTTTTTGAATCGTGTTCATCTTTTGTCCTTTCCTCAATACTCATTTTATACGCACTCTTTTCACTCATATTGACTTTCTGTAACCCACAAGGTACTAGTGGCATTCCTACTTTGCTTAACGTGAAATGAAAACAAAGACAAAAAAAACAACAACAAAAAACAAACTACAAATATGTAATTATCATTCGAATACGCACATTTAGGTAATTATAAGCATAATACGAATTAATTATAAATATATTTTTGTAATTGGGGTATATAAATTGTCGGGTATATAATTTGTGAGGTATATGAATTGTGTCGTATATATATTGAAGGATATATGAAATGTGTCGTACATAAATTGTGGGGTATATAAATTGTGTCGTATATTAATTGAGGGCTATATAATTTGTAGGGTATATAAATTGTGTCGTATATAAAATGTGGTGTATATAAATTGTGTGGTATATAAATTGTGGGGTATATAAATTGTGGAGTATATAATTTGTGAGGTATATAAATTGTGTCGTATATAAATTGTGGGTTATATACTTATGTCGTATAAAAATTGTGGGCTATATAATTTGTAGGGTATATAAATTCTGTCGTATATAAAATGTGGTGTATATAAATTGTGTGGTATATAAATTGTGGGGTATATAAATTGTGGGGTATATAATTTGTGAGGTATATAAATTGTGTCGTATATAAATTGTGGGTTATATAATTTGTGAGGTATATGACTTATGTCGTATATAAATTGTGGGCTATATAATTTGTAGGGTATATAAATTCTGTCGTATATAAAATGTGGTGTATATAAATTGTGTGGTATATAAATTGTGGGGTATATAATTTGTGAGGTATATGACTTATGTCGTATATAAATTGTGGGGTATATAAATTGTAGGATATATGAATTATGTTATATATAAATTGTGGGGTATATAAAATGTGTTGTATATAAATTGTGTCGTATATAAAATGTTTCGTATATAAATTTTAGGGTATATAAATTGTGTCGTATATAAATTGTGATATGTACGTTTTTGTGCAGACATTCATATGTGTATATTATATTTATTTAATTTTCTTATTTTAAATTAATTTTTATTTATTGACACATATTTTTTATTTATATTTTATTTTATATTTATTATTTTTTTAATACCCAACCTGTAAATAATATGAACTACGCCACTATTATTATAGTCCGTCATATATATAAAAATTTAAATTATGTAACAGCCAGTGATTAATGGCTACCAGAAATTCGCGATGCGGATAAAACACAGAGAAGTGCTACCGGATGAGGAAAAACGAATATTAATTATTAATATATAAATTATAGCTCTGTTCTCCTACATCAAGTACAATTAACACCATTATATATATATATTAAGTAAATAGAAATCGATTTTTCATTCGATTTTTGTCATATGATGTTTTGTTAGTGTCTTTTGTATAGCAATCCCTGAAATAATTATTTTCCTATTATTAATTATAATAAACTGTTTGAATTACTATTATAAAAAGTTATATGCTAACAAAGAAAATTAAATGTTCACTTAATTCTAGGTATTCTGAGTATCGCAGAAATTGTGTTTTTATTTTTTATTTAAAAAATAAAGTGTTTTTGTAAATACATACATCAAAAGATATTTGTTTAAAACTCTATCTATCTATCTATCTATCTATCTATCTATCTATCTATCTATCTTTCTTTCTTTCTTCCTCAGCCTACTCATATCACTCCATCTCTGTCTATTACTCTCTCTCTCTCTCTATATATATATATATATATATATATATATATATCCATTATATATATATATATATATATATATATATATATATGTCTGTTGATATATTAAGTCTGTTCACATCTATCTATTTACCTATATATATATATATATATATATATATATATATATATATATATATATCTGGCATAGATGTATATATATATACATACACACACACACACACATATATATATATATATATATATATATACAGAGAGAGATATATAATATATATATATATATATTATATATATATATATCAGCTCTCTCTCTCTCTCTCTCTATATATATATATATATATATATATATATATATATGTATGCATATGTATACATCTATGTCAGTGACACACCTTTAGGCATAAAGGAACGAATGTATCAAATAAGTATGCCAGGGCACCTGTGGCTAACGACAGGTGAATTAGCTTTTTGGGTGGGCTTATTAATCTGGGTCATTTCAAGGGTCACTTGACAAATTCTGACCGTCACTATCTCGTTGTGGGTCGTATGACTTTCCAAAAATCTGAGAAGATGATTGGCACTTCACTTTATGTTGAACGTGACGCTCACCAACTTCATTTATCTGATAATGTCTCCCGTCTTTGGATTGTTAGACTCAAGAGATTATTTATCAAAATCGAAAGCAAAAAATAAATAAATTTAGCTTTCTTGGACTCTGACAGTTTATATGGAGAACAGAAAATGCTGCCTGAGATTTAATTGCTTTTTCTTGTGTGGATTTATCTCATTTTCGCTGTCTGGTCGCCTATCTATCTTAATTGCTCCGTTTCTACGCTTATTCATATCTATGTCACACATATATACCCCCATATATATATATATATATATATATATATATATATATATATATATATATATATATATATATATATGTATAAACAGAGTGTAACTGCAAAATTGTCCAAATAGTGTAAAAGCAAAATTTTCCAATTGTTAGATTAAGGTCTGAATCGCTCTAATTTAGAAATGATTAAAGATATCTTATTGTAATTCTCCGAGGTTTTTATAACATTTTTTGACTTTTCTTTGAGCAATATGAATGTATAATTACTCCTCAAGCTTAACAGAAGAATCGTGATGAAATTGATCATTAACGAAAATGACATGTTCATCATTAATTAATCATAGCCAAAGATCAGAAGCACATGAAGGATTAAAATGAAGTTCAAATAAATAAATATATATATATATATATATATATATATATATATATATATATATATATATATATATTTGAACTTTATATATATATTATTCCAGAATCATTTTTCAAACGTATTCAAGATGATGATCATCATCTCTAGCCTTCTAACATACTGTCCTGGAGTAACAAGATGCCGTACACATTTCACGTACGATTTAATTTTCAAATCTTTCACTGCTCTTTAGACTGTCACGTGCCAAACGTCTTATAAGTTGAGTGGGATCTTTTCTAATTGTCCTCTTTAGCTTTAAGTTGAAATGATGATCCCTCTTGCTGTTGTCATCTTCAGATTCAGTTTTCCTCTCAACAGTTCACTCTTTTTTAAACTTATTCAACATTATTTTGATGAATCTTGAATGGACGTTGAAGATGGAAGCCAGAGTATGAATGTTGATACCATTTCTGAAGACCTGAAGAATTCTTTCCTCTCATCATTGCTCAATTGAGAAGGCAGTGGGGCTGACATAAAACGATTTTAACCTGTTCTCTTTGTCTTAGCGAAGAGTCTTGCATCAGCAGCAGTAATAGTCACTGTTTACAGATTCGCTTTTCTCCCCGAGGAGCTCAACTGAAATAAGATAGATAGATAGATATGGTCAAACTGAGATAGATTGACAGACAGACAGATAGACGTGAACCGACTGAAATAGATAGATATGAACAAACTAAGATAGATAGATATTAATGGACTGATATATAGATAGATAGATATAAACCGACTGAGATAGATAGATAGATATGAACCGACTGAGATAGATAAATAGATAGATATGAACAAACTAAGATAGATAGATATTAATGGACTGATATATATATATATATATATATATATATATGTGTGTGTGTGTGTGTGTGTGTGTTAGTCATTAATATCCATTAATATCATTAGTATATATATATATATATATATATATATATATATATATATATATATGAACCGACTGAGATAGATAGATAGATATGAACCGACTGAGATAGATAGATAGATAGATAGAGAGATAGATAGATAGATAGATAGATATGAACCGACTGAGATAGATAAATAGATAGATATGAACCGACTGAGATAGATAGATAGATAGATAGATAGATAGATAGATAGA